GAAAACATTGGTGAATGCCACAAATTCTCCTAAATCACTCGTACGCACAACTTAAGAACAAATCTGTGCGTACGAACGGTTCTTGCATGAGGCCCAATGAGCGTGGTGTTAAAGCTGAAAAACGTTTCCTCAGAATATGTCTGCACTCTAAACTCTTCCTACTGTTTTGTAACGACTCAATAAAGCCAACATGAGCTTTATTTAATTTCTCAACAGAAAATGGAGGCTGGACACATTTTTATGGACTCATTCTCTTCACTGGTGCTGAAAATGTTACTGACATTAAAAAGCAGATTGAAAAAAAATCATACAAAGAAAACTAAAGGAGGAGTTACTTGCATTTAATTATTTCAGCAATTTACACTTTGACTAAAGCTTGGAACTCAGAAGGGGTGGGCATTGCCCCTCGTGTCCCCCCACATGATGGCACCCCTGGTTCCTGCCTCGGTCCGAACATGAAGCCGGTGGTTGACACTAGAGCACAGATAACCTCTTTATTGACAAAAAAAATGCCTGATTTTACCTGGCTGACGTTTCTGTGGGACTCACCTGATGTGGAGGCTTTAAAAAAAATCCGCTCCACGTTCGATGTGGTCAGAAGTTTGTCTCTAGTCCCGCGTCGTCCCGAGTCTTTAACTAGGAGTCGAACTTCTTACATCTGACGTGTCACAAAACATAAGAATAAACTGAATCGTTACTGAAAGTATTTTCTATTTTAGTTTACATTAACCAAGACAACAAACAAACCTTAAAGTCATCTAATCCGACAATCGAATCATTTTGGTCCAACCATATAAATGACGTCAAGCGTGATTTCGTTCAGTAATGCCAAATCTCGCGAGATTTGTTCTCGCTCGACGCGTGTGGCGAAATTACAGGATCCTGCAGCTCAAAACTTTACCTCAGTAAAAATCATGAGGTTTTAGGCCTTGTGTTTGCTAAAGTTTGTAACTGCAGAGGTCATTTTAAATCTGGCTTATTAAAAGTTTTATAATTGACATCTTTAAAATATGTACATCTGCAACTCAAACTACAAATACTTAGCTACATTACTGAAGTAGAAATTGTGGGTGGATTATACACTTTACAGCAGTGGTTCCCAAACTTTTTTATCTTCTGACCCACAAAATATTCATGGCAAAAACTTGTGACCCCAAATATTACTGGTCTGAGTACATGAACTTTGTTAATAACCCTAAAAACACAGGCTTTTTTACAATCTAAACAGCTTATACACAAATATAAATACTTAAACTTTTTTGTGTTGTTGTAATAGTTATAGGGGAAATATTACATCAGCAACTATTTTATTAGCCTTTAAATTGATTTCTGGAGATTATCCAAGGTGCTTCATGACC